CTCTAGATGCAGTGTTCACACCAGAAAACAGACAATTTTCTCAAAATGTTTTTTAGTAGATCTACCTTTCCTTTATGCTATACTTCTGGCCACTTTTGTGCAAAAATTGTTGATCAAGAGAAATTTAAACACACTTCTTAAAGAATACAGGAAAAGACAGTATTGAAATGTTCCCATTTTTCTCAAACCAGGTTTCTTACAAAATGTGTAACGGTAGATACTTTGAATTCATCACTAAAAATCCCACAAAATCAGATTCTAATTACTATAGCTACACAGGACACAGTATTTTACAATTCCTGTGGGGTTTTTTCCATTTATAGACCACAAAAGATTATTAACACTAAAATGAAAAACCTGACAATAATCAGCAAAGGATGGTACAACTATTAGGTGGAAGATTATTGAAGAATAGGCTAGTGCCACTGCTAATTGATCATGCTACAGATTACTTGCTAAATGGAATATAAATAAAATAAAATAAAATAAAATAAAATAAAATAAATGCAATGTAAAAACAGACCTCACCAAAAAAAAAAAAAAAACCCCAGATCTTATCCAAATGATCAAACAATGAGACCAGTTTATGTCTCCTGATGGGAGTCAATATGAAGTACACAGCATCACTTATTAGATATATATATTTTGTTTGTTTGTTTGTTTGAGACAGGGTCTTGCTATGTAGTCCAGGCCAGTCTTGAATTCACTATGTAGCTCAGACTGGCCTCGAACTCGAGGTGATCCTCCTGCCTCAGCCTCTCAAGTGCTGGAATTATAAGTGCACACCACCTCAGCAATTTATTAGATATTCTTGTCCTAAATGTTTTATTGGAAACTAACAAAACCTCTAAATCTAGTTTACAGTTAAAGGCTAGTATGGGGGAATACAGGAACAAGTAAAATGATACCATGAAAGGGGAAACACGCAAATCCAGAATGTAAATCATTTCAAAAGACAGCCTTTTTTATCTTTTTTTCTTTAAACTCCTTTTAAAAGGAGAGAGAGCTGGGCATGGTGGTGCCTGCCTATACTATAATCCCAGCACTTAAGAGGCTGAGCCAGGATGATGATCACTGTGAGTTTGAGGCCAGCCTGGCTATATAGTGAGACCTAGTCTCAAAAAAGGGGGCGGGGGGGGGGCTGCTGGTCTGGAATAGAAGAGGTCAAAAAAACTTAACAACCAAATGCAATCAATACTTTGCTGGGATCCTTCTTTGGTAAGGGAGGATGTATAAAGCCATAAAGACCTAAACAAATGGAGAAATTTAAATAAGGATGGATAATAGCTTACACTAAGGAATTACCATGTCTAAAAAAATTAACAATAATGGTTATTTAGCTATATAAGAAAATGTCCTTATCTTTGGAAGATGCATGCTGATACATTTTAGGAGTAAAGTGTCAAAATGTGAACAGCTTAGTTTCAAATAGTTCAGTCAAAATTCTATACCCATATTTATAAATAAAGCTAATATGGCAAGGTATCAAACATGTTGAATTTAGAGGATGTTTCACTCCTATTTAATATAGTTCTTGAAACATTAGCTAGAGCAATTAGGTAAGACAAAGAAATAAAAGGGTATGTATAGGGAAGGAAGAAGTCAAATTACCATTATTTACAGATAGTATGATCCTCTACATAGAAAAAAAAAATCCACCAAAAGACCCCTAGAATAACCAAATTCAGTACCAGGATACACAATCAACACACAACAATCAACAGAGTTCCTATACATCAATAATGAACTCACCAATAAAGAAATTAGGAAAATAATACCATTCACAATAACATCAAAAAAATTAAAATACTTAGTTTTTATAATAACAAAAACTATAGTTCTTGAGAATGGAGATCAAAGAAGACAGCAGAAAATGGAAAGACATCCTGTTCCTAGATAGGCAGAACCAATATTGTCAAAATAGCCATACTACCTCCAAAATTGATATACAGATTTAGTGCAATCCCAATCAAAATACCAACAGCATTCCTCATAAAACTAGAGAAACCAATCCTAAAATTTATATGGAACCAGAAGAGACCCAGAATAGCAAAAGCAGTCCTAGGCAACAAGAACAAAGCAGGAGGCATTACAATCCCAGATTTCAAATTACACTACAATGCTACAGTGATAAAAACAGCATGGTATTGGCCCAAAAACAGACATGTGGATCAATGGAACAGAACAAAGGATGCAGAAACAACCCCAGGCACAACTATTTTGATATTTCACAAAAGAGCCAAAAATAAACACTAGAGGAAAGATAACATCTTTAACAAATGTTGCTGGGAAAACTGGCTATCCAAATGCCAAAGACTGAACCTAGAATGATCTCTCTCACCATGCCCTAAACTAAAATCCAAATGGATCAAAGATCTAAATGTTAAAACAGAAACACTTAATCTGCTAGAAAATAAAATAGGTAAAACTCCTGAAGACACAGGCATAGGCAAGGACTTTCTTAACAGAATTCCAATTGCACATGAAATAACATCAAGAATCAACAAATGGGATATCAAATAGCAAAGGAAAACACTGTGAAGAGACAACCCACAGAATGCAAAAAATTTTTTCGAGCTATTCTTAAGATAGAGTACTAAATATCTAGAATATATAAAAACTCAAGGGCCGGGGATTTAGCTCAGTGGTTCCACCGCCTGCCTGCCTCACAAGCAAAAGGTCCTGAGTTCAATCCCCAGTACCAAAAATCCCCAAAAAACAAAAACAAAACAAAACACCAACAACAAAGAACTCAAAAAACTTACCCTCCCACAAGAGATTCAGCTCATTGGTTTCACCTCCTGCTTTGTGAGCGCAAGGTCCTGAGTTTGATCCCCAGTACCAAAAACAAAAACAAAAAAAACTTACCCTCCCCAAAATAAAAGGTCCAAGTAAAAAAATGGCAAGTGAGGTAGACACTTCTCAGAACTGTCAAGGCCAATAAATACATGAAAAATGTTCAACTTCTCCAGTCATTTGAGAAATGCAAATTAACACAACACTGAGAGTCCATCTTGCTCCAGAAAGAATGGCTATCATCAAGTAGTCAAATAACAACAAATGTTAGAGAGGCTTTGGGGGAAAAGGAAACCTTCTACATTGTTGGTGGTGGGAATGTAATCCAGTACAACTATTATGGAAATCAGTATGGAGATTCCTCAAAAAACTAAAAATAGAAATTCCATTTGACCCAGGTATTCCATTTCCCCTTCTAGGTATCTTTCTGAAAGAGTTAAAGACATACACTAAAGTCATACATGCATACCCATGTTTATAGCAGCACCATTTGTAATAGCTAAATCTTGGAAGCAGCCTATATGTTCATCAACAGATGAATGGATAAAGAAAATATAGTACTGGGCCGAGGATTTAGCTCAGCGGTTTCAACACCTGCTATGCAAGAGCAAGGACCCGAGTTCGATCCCTAGTACCAAAAAAAAAACAACAAAAAATGTGGTATTTATACACAATGGAGTACTACTCTGCCATGAAGCAGGATACATCTGAGTCATTTGTAGAAAAATGGACAGACCTGAGACCACAATGTTAAATGAAATAAATCAGACATACTAGCTTAACTATCACATAGTTTCTATTATATGAGAACTAAAATATAAATAAAGAGCAAAATAAAATATAATAGGAAATAGGGAGATAGAGCTTTTGCAAAAAGGAAAGGGAATCAAGAATTGGAGGGCATGGAGAGGGAGGGGAGCAGAAGGGGAAAAAAGTTAAGATGTATTATGTACATGTGCTAACTCCTCATGAGGAATGTAATCATTATGTACTACAAACTGAGCCAGTCCCCCCCACCACTACCCTTCAGTTTTGCTTTCTTGAATAAACTCTGGCACTGCTTTAAAAAGAAAAATACTACAGACCAATCCTAAATGAAAATTTTCAGTTAGCTTGTATCACTCCATACAGGAAAACTATTAATCCACGAATATAGCCTTCTGCAATATTCTACACATTAAACTTTGACATTAAAGTCAGAAATATTGCACAAGATGATGCAAAATTACTGTGTTGTCATTGCCACACAATCCAGCAACAAATTTTGCAATAAGGAAATCTCAAGCAAATAACCCAACTGCGAGTTCCCTATATGCAACAAGAACAGACTGCAAAAGTAAAATTGTAACTTCTCAAGAAATATACTGTTTTACCAAATATTTTTTTTCTTTCTGAAAGGAGAGAAACTTTTTCTAATTCTAACATAAAAAAATGGTAAAGGTGCCTAGAGCCACCTTTCACACATAATTATTTTAAAAATCAAGGAAATGATCTGGCAAGGCTGCAGAAAAACACACCAGTCTATGTATCACCTTTGGTCTTTGGAATTTATGCCCAGGAAGAAACTCTACAGCCAGTCTCATTTTCCTCACATTTCTCCTTTTACACGATGGAAAAACAGTTCTAACAGAAGACATCTGCATATTTGAATCAAGGCTTCCTTGATTGCTAGCTGTCTGACCTTAAGCAAATGCCCTGACTTCTCTGAGCCTCAATTTCCTTTCTGTAAAATGGGGAAACAGCGTCCCCACTTCACTGGACTTGGAAGATGAACTAAGATAATGCACGATAACTCCCAGGCGCAGAAGAGCTCAGGAAGTGCTAGCTAAATGTTCCATAAAGGATGAAAGAGAAACAGTGCTAACTGATAAGATTAGTACACTGTGACTACAAAGACAAGCACTTTTTCGCTTACAAAGTACCTGTACCATCCCTGGGATCAGCTGCAACCTTCCGACTAAAGTCCCCGCAGTGTACGTGTCTGACAGCTACACAGCCCAGCAGCCTCCTTCCACCTGACCTGCCTTCAGGATGGGATGCTGGGAACCCAAGTCCGCTCTCCTGAGCAAGGCAATCACCCAGCGAAATCCCCGCCCCGAGAGCGGCTCACAGGCCGTCGCCAGCCGCAAGCCCCCTCCGCGCTCAGCGCCAGGCCACGGCCCCACACACAATCACACACGCACACGCGCGCGCGCAGCACTCACCGACCACTCTGCGGGGACGCAGGGAGCCGCAGGCCGAAGGAGGGCGGCCGCAGTCAAGCCCGCCCCTCCGCCCCCGCGCGGCCTGTCACGGCGGCCCGGGGTCCCGGAGCCTGCCCGGGGGCCGGAGGGGCGTGCGAGAGCCGGGCGCGGGCCGGGGGCCAGGCCCGTCCCTCCCTCACATGGAGCCCGTGCCGCCCCTCGGTGCTTCTCGCCACAGCTGCCCGGAGGCCTGCGGGGAGCCGGGCAGGAAAGGAGGAAGCCCAGGGCCGGCGCCGCCAGGGGCAGGAGAAGAGGCGGGAGCAGCGACTCCGCGGCCGGGGACGCGGGATGTCCGGGTCGTCGTCCTCGTCTTCTCCGCCGCTGGCCGCCTGACCCTCGAACGCCGAACCCCGCGGTCGCACCGCCCTCGTCAAGCTCCGCAGCCGAGGGTAGCCCGGCCGCCACTACACACGGACCCGTGACGTCTGGCGTAGCGCGGCGCACGTCAAGGCCGCTTGCTCGTGAACGCGCGGCCCTTCTCTCACTGGGAACGGAACCCGCCCCGGCCGCGCGCCCGGCTAGACAGAGCGTGTCGGCGCCTGCGCAGTGGCCCGCTCTGACCAAGCAAGGCCGGGCCCCGCCCACCGGGTAGTTTGGGAGTTCTCCGGCCGGGCCTGGCCTCAGCGTCGGCCCCGCCCCTGGCTTCGGGCGCCCTGCGCTTTGCTGCATGCGTGTCGTAAAACAGTCTGGGTTTTGTCGCGTCCACGAGTCACTCAGGTCTCGGCTGGTAGCGCTAGAGAAGGAACTCTTACGTGGACTGCAGGCTGAACCCAAGGGCGGCGAGACTGGAGAGGCTGCGACCGACAAAACCAAGGCAAGTTAGTTCAAGGTGAAGAACCATTTGCCTCCTAATTGGTATACCAAGTTTCAGAGTTCTTTCCTGAAAGACTTCAGAAATGACCCTGGGCTTGGACTGGGGTACGTAGCTCGTTGATAGATCTCTTGCTTGCCTAATATGCGCCGAGGCCCTGGGTTCCATCTCCAGCACCACAAGACAAAAAAATATTTACCCCAAAACTGCCACCTAACCGTAACCCCCCCGCCCAGGATTTTTTTGGTTGGGGGGGGTCCTTTTGGTTGGGGGGGGTCTTTTTTTTTTTTTTTTTGAGACAGGGTCTCACGATGCAATTCAGACTAGCCTTGAACTCACTGTGTAGGCCAGGCTAGCCTCAAACTTGCAGCAGTCCTGCCTCGGCTTCCCAAGCAATGAGATTACAGTAATGTGCTACCACGCCTGGCTATTGCCCAAGTTTTATGTTTTCTGTTTAGATCTTATAGTTATTCTAGGTTGGCCCATCAAATACTGTATTACCGTCAGCTCAGAGCAATGAGTTGACTACAGGTTGGTACTAGTTCAACTCCCAGTACCAAAAAACAAAATTAGTGGCCTACTCTAAAACCCACATTTTTCTCACGTAATCTTTCCCTTGCTGCCCGATGCCTTTGGATAAAAATGCAGATTAATTGGACTATCCCTGGAGGCCCTCCGTGGTGTGTGCCCAGAGGTTTTTACCACACTGATTCAGAAAGCATCCTTTCCACCCTTCTCCTTTCCTCAACCACCTTTACAACTTCTTGTTCCAGTCTTCTCTGTACTTCTCCTACATGGTTTCTCCATACAATCTGTATTCTGTCCCCTTCCTGCTTGTTTAGACCACATTTCCATTCAAGCATTCCAAAGAAGACAAATGGGAATGGAACCTGGTGGACTCAGAAGTTAGAAGCTGCCCTAACTGAGGGGCCCCAGTGGGTCAAGGGAGCTGCCATTGTTGGACAGTGACTGGAGGTGGTGGTGGTATGAAGTATCAAAATATCTGAATCCTTTTCCAGGAGTTTTTATTACACTGTCATTAGAGGGGTATCAATGACAGTATAAAGAATGCACACCTCAAAAATAAACCTAAATGGAAAACCTTGCCCCATCTTAAATCTTGTTTGTGTTAAAAGTAGAGGACTTTACTCTTACATACACATAAAATCTCAAAAAGATCTTTAAGATACCTCTTTTTTATTTTGTGGTACAATGATAGAACCCAGAGCCCACTCACATGCTACATAGGCACTCTACCACTAGGCTACACCGCCAGCCAGATAGCATTTGTGTGTGTGTGTGTGTGTGTGTGTGTGTGTGTGTGTGTGGTGGTGGTGGTATGGGAGGTTGTGGAGATTGGTAAGTCCTTAAGTGGGCTTGAACTTGCAGTCCTCCTCCCTCAGTCTCCCAGAGTGCTGGGATCACAGGTGTACATCACTGCACAGCTCAGGTTAGCATTCAGATCTTACATTTTTCCCTTACTCTCCACGGTTCCTAGCCTAACCACATAGGCATTTTATAAATATGTATATGTTTACTAAGTAATCTAGAGATTTCTCCTCATACCTCTGCTGACTCCTCTACTCCCTTCTGTCACCTACACCTGGAGACTTCATTCACTTCTGTGTTCTTAGGAAGACCTTAACTAATTAGAGTAGCTGTTGTTTTTCTCTCTTTTTTTATTTCATTAATTTTTTTCATGCTTATATATTAAATCTCTGGCATCCTTGGTTATTTTAGTGTGTATGATTCCAAATTAATGGTCTTGGATTTTTTTTCCTTGATGAAACCTTCAGTGTTTTTGAGGGGGAGGCTCTAGCCTTGCTAACTGTGCCTTGGATTGCTATGATGCAGCAACATAATCCCATCTACCAGGAACTCGGAATCTTGTAAGATACAAAAAATAAATTACAATTCAAAGTGACTTGCATTGTAACAGTAACGTGTATCAGGTGTGACAGCAACGGAGAAGTTTTCCATGTTATGCTAAGGAAGTGAAAGCCATCTTTAGAGAGGAGGCATGATACGAGCTGTCTTGCTGCATAACAAACCATATACACTTAGTGACATCAAACTACACCTGTTGATTAGCTCACAATTCTGTAGGTAAGAAATTTCCACAGGAGCATAGCTATTCAATATCAGAGGTTGAAACCAAGATGTTAGCTGGGCTGAGTGCTGGTCTTGAGGGGCTTGACCTCAAAGGGCATATCCTCCATCCTGCTTTCTCCCTTCACTCTCTGCTTCCTGTCTGCCATGAAGTGAGCAGCTTTCTTCTGCATAGACTCATCCACCATGCTGCTGACCATACAAGGACTGAAACTTCTATAATTTGAGCCAAAATAAACCTTTCTTCCTTTCAGTTGTGAGTGTAAGGTATTTTGTTCCAGCAACATGGAAAGTGACTAAGACATTTGGGCAATGAAAGGCTAAACTAGACCAATGGCCATGACAATATGAATATCATCTAGGATGCATTTGACTATAGTGTGTAAATAAGTAAGTCACCTGGCTCAAAAGAGTTTAAACAATGAGGATTATTTTCTCATCTAATAAATATCTAGTAGATGGCTCCAAGGCTGGTTAGGGCTACAAACTGACATCTCAGGAGTGAAAAATGGCCATGTCAACTTGTGATATCATGACCTCCCATCCAGGAAGGAAAATCTCTGCCCCCTGCCCCCCCCCGCCCCCGCCAAGTTATCACTGTCACTCTCTCTTGCTCTTTTGTTTTTGGCAGTGCTGGGGACTAACCCAGAGCCACACAATACTAAGTTATATCTCCAGTCCCCTTTGTTGCTTTTTTTTGTTTTTTGAGACAGGGTCTCACTATATAGTTCAGACTGGCCTTGAACTCAGCATGTAACCCAGACTAGCCTTGTACTCACAGTGATCCTCTTGCCTCAGCTTCCTGAGTGCTGAGACTACAGGCATGTGGCACCATACCCTACTTTGTTGGTTTTTTTAAATAAACTTTGTAGCTGACACCCCTGCCCCATATACTAGCAGGCTATAAGTGGCACAGGCTTCTTGCTTCCCCATGATTCAGCTATGTTAGGAGTCTGACTGAACCCTACGAGAGTCATGAAGGCTTGTTGGATGGCACGCAAGTGAGCAAAGCTCCCCCACCAACACAGCTGTAGCAGAGACCAAAGTTCTGGTCTGTGAAGCAGCAGGGCCTTGATTGAGATAACATTGTGGCCAAGGAGAGTATGGCTCCAACTAAATTCTTTTCCCTGAATTATGCCCCCCCCCCACTCACCTGATGGGTTACTGGTTAATTACCACAGTCTTGGTCTCCCTTTGTTCTTTCTGCAGGAATGCCTTGCCTCCCTTTTACAAGTCTTGCCTGTGATAACTGCTATTGCCACATGTCTGACACACTATCACCACATGTCTCACATACACCCTGCCCTTTTTCTCCCCATGTTTGTAATCAATAAATACTGGAGGTCTGAAGTGCCTGTTGTCTTTGCTGCCGGCTCAGCTTCGAACATCCTAGATCCCCATTCTCTGTTTAAGTCTTGTTTCTGTGTCTTCCTTTCACCTTATGTTGTAGCCCATAGGCAAGAGATCAAGGCTCAAGGTGGGGGTAACTGATGAAACTTTTATTTTATAACTTTTCAATTTACAGAAAAATTGCCAAGATAGTACAGAGAGTTCCCATATGCTCTCACATCCAAACCTAATAACCTAAAGGATATCACTTTGGTGACACATGTGGAGGAAGGCAGGAGTACAGAAGAACCACACATCCTACCAACAATAACGCTGGCCCTCAGTGCTGTGTGATCCATGCAGAAGGCCTTGTGTGCCCCGCACAAAGAAAACAATGACCAGACTACCAAATCCTAGCCAGCTCTGCTCCTGCATTCTCCTCAGCACAGAGTGGCAGAAGTGACAGCAAAAAGACTGACCTGATTGAAATAAGACCCACACCTAGAAGAGTTTCACTCTAGGACTGAAGTGTTACTGTACCACAGGGACTGGGTGAGAGACATCCAGGGGAGGCAGCTTAGGATAAGAGCTAAAGAGGGGTCTCTGGCATCACCTGGTAGGCTTGGGCTGAGCCCAGGAGGATCATGGGACCTGTATACTGTGGTGGGAGTTCAGGTTTGATAGGTATAATCTTCAGAAGTGGTGGTCCTGAGGAGATGACATTTGGTCCAGGTGTACACTTGAGCCCTTGCACCACACCTATATCCAGCAGAAATTAGTGGTCTGAATTA